CTTTGGAGAAGACAACTCATTGCAGCAATATTGTTAATATAATCTCTTTAGTAGATGTAATGTTCACTGCTAACAGCTATTATGTAGATGCTGTCTGTATGGAGGGAAGTTTCTAAGCAAGGGGCACTGGCTTCAAGTAATTCAGTTTCAAACCATTTAAGGTTTTTAAATTAAACAATAGCACTTTGAATTTGGCTTGGAACCAAATTTACAGTTTATGAAGTTTGTTGAAATATAATTGAAGGAAGTACAAGCAGCCAAAAATCTGATTGTTCCAGTCTTCTCAAATTGAAGCTTCTAGATTATATTTTCAGAAATCTTAATATGATTAGTGGGTTACTCCAGTACTCTTTTAGTAAAGCAAGGTAAACTCAATGTCACAAAGGCAATCTGGATTTTGCAGTCCAAGTGTTGAATTCAGGAACATTTCTAAAGCTCCAACATTTTTTTGAGGGGGAGGGATCCACTCTGAAACAATTCAATAGATTTCTCTAAATTAAAGAAAAATTGGGGAAATGTGTACCTATAGGACTGAATTCTTAATATTCATCCTTCCCGTGTATCAAACAATGTGCCTTAGGAACTTTTTATCATTGCCACTAGTTACAAGGTAAAACTACCAAAACAAATGCAAGAATCTTAAACCTGCCAAAATTACCTGTTTTATCAACAAAATATTGAAAATTACAAAATAAGTAAAACAAGCTGACAGAGCAAAATGCTGAATATACTATCTTACCTAACTCTAAATCGCATACATATCAGAAAATACTTTGGTTAGTAAATAACAACAATGAAATAAAATGTAACAAAAAATATGTTTAGTCTCACAGTTGTTCTTGATTAGGTTTCACTATTATCTCAATCTTTGGAGGAAGGGATTAATAAATATAATAGATGTATTATAGCCATGCCAATGTTCCCCAGAAACATTATCAATTACCATAAGAAACAGTTATCCAGGTTTTTATAGATGATACCGAAATACTTTTTATTAAAGGATTCATATTTTATAAAACAAATACAACAAGAGTTTGAACAATTACTTTTAATTATAAACAAACATTCTGTATATTTACTAGTTGCTTAGGAGACCTTTAAGGCATCTATATATCTTACTCTATATGGCTTAATGGGAAAGGGGAAAAAATCAAGAAGTTAAATGAAAAAAGATTGGAATGAGGGGGAATTAAGAACTGTTTGAGCACATATGAAACATACATGTAAAGTATTATATGTTTTATGAATGCTAAACAAGAACCCAATTATCTTTATGTACCGGTACTTGAAACAGAATATTCATTGAATTGTATAAAATAAAGATGCTTATACTGAGGTAAAAGATCTGATAAATTACTAGCCAGGGAACTCAGTGGAGAAACCATGACTAATAATGGTGAGAGCTAAGAATGTTGCAATGTGTCTGGATGGAAATCAAGGAAGATATGGATCAGCCCATCAGGATGGAGAGCGTTTGGCTAAGTCAAACCCAAAGTTTTTTATTGTCTCATTGATACAAAAGAGCCTACCAAAGGTGGAGGAGAAAGGGGATGAGACATTGATGTTAAAAGATTCTTTTCCTGATGTGGAGAGATTATATAAGCTATCTATTAGTTGGCTCTTTTACTACCAAGGTTGACTCTGGTAAGAAAGCTGCTATGGAAGTTACAGTACATCGTGACCAGTAGTGGGTTTCAAATCCTGTGCTACTTGTTTGCTTGGGGGGGGGGGGGGGGCGTGATGCTTCTACACATGCGCAAAAGCGGATGGGCGGAGCCTCCCGCCACCGCCACAACGGTAGCAACCCACCACTGTTCGTGACCATATGCTTTGCAATGATTTTATTCAGGTCCCAAAGGTGGTTTTTCAGGAAGCAACTGGACTTTCTTGTTTTTTCTTTGAAGATGTTTCACTTCTCATCCAAGAAGCTTCTTCAGCTCTGACTGGATGGTGGAGAATGGAAGGATTTATATTCCTTGCAGACAACTGGTCATTTGCATCCTTTCTGAGGGTCGTTGAAGCATTTGGTGGTTTATCTATGTCCTCGGGGTCACCTGAGTAGTGCTCCTGGTTCCTGTAGTCTGCACTTTTTTCTCTAGAAATCCATTCCTACACCCACGCCATTCAAAGGGTGTTCATCCCAAATTGCATAGCTAAAAGTCTGTAGAGAGTCATCCAGGTCATAGTTGTCCCAAAGATGCTTTTTCAGGAGACAACTGGACTTTCTTGTTTTTTCTTTGAAGATGTTTCACTTCTCATCCAAGAAGCTTCTTCAGCTCTGACTGGATGGTGGGGAATGGAAGGAGTTTGAATCCCTAGTATAGGTCTCCTGCGTGAGCAGGGGGTTGGACTAGATGACCTCCAAGGTCCCTTCCAATTCTGTTACTGTTACCTGATTTCATTCATTCTGGATCTGGCATTATTATGAAAAGAGATGCATGGAGTACAATAATAAAATTTAGCAACCTTTAATTCACTTTTCACTCTGAGCAACAAGAACTAATTAGTCATTTTTCTCTCTGGGTAATATTTTTATTTAAAGTAAAAGAGGAAGGTTGCTTCAAGCCAGAAGACTTCTGATATTTCTCATACATTGCTCTTTGACTGGAAACCACAAGAGGAACTAAAATTTATTTTTGACTTCGGTCTCACCTTTTTTTTTGGTATATATCCAATTATGTTTTGTCCACATCACTCAGTACAAATAAAGAAGCTGTATTTCAGAAAATTATTTTTATTGAAGCAACAATAATCATTTGTGCATGTGTTTCAGAGTCAAAAGCTATATGTTGGCGCTTTCTCCCATCTCCACTCTCATTTTTAAACCAGAAATGGTGCTAGACTTCTTTGGATGCCTGCTACACTCCTATAAATCTTTGGTGTAGATGCATGACATGAATCAGAGATCCTAATTATTTTTGGATAGCAGGACATCTAGAATTTATTAAAGGTACTCTTAGAAAATGACTATCATGATGGGTGTGTTCACTCACAAGTGGATTCACCTCTAATAAAATATGTCCTAAAAATATTTGGATTATATGTTGGTCCCAGAAGCAATATGTTTAAGCCTGCTGCTTTCCATCTAATTTTCTTTATTTAAAGAATCTAAATCAAATTAAATAGTGAGGCATGGATCTTGTAGGTTCCAGAGGAGATATCTGCAGGCACAGTATCACACTGGGGATCCAGTTTCTAGATTTGATCCTCTGCAGCATGTTATAAAGTTTAAAAGGCTGAGCCTAGAGTAGTTTGTATCTTGAAAAGTCAGTAACAATATGTATTGACTTACTCTATAGCCATTATTTGGGTGAGACAATTTCCAAATCAGATTAGAGACTGGATGGCTTCTGAAAACACTGCTGCTTTCTCAAACTGAGAAATTTACAGTGGAATGAAATTAATATGAAGTGCTTCATATTTATATTATCTGACTATTTTGTAATCTAATGGTCCATTTTCTCTCTCCTCAAAAAGATGCTACACAAAAGCAGCTACTTAGTTATATAATCAATATTGATCTGTTTTCATGTATAATTTAACCTTCGAATTATCAAAGCAGTTGATTCATCAATATTCATTTTCATGCAGTCTGTACAAGTGTAAACAGATGACTGGATCTTGGTTCATTAAAATCGTAATTATTTTGCCCTGAATTTGCATTTTTAAATACATATTTGAAAACTGAGTAGAATACAGCAATTGAAAAATCTGTTCATGCGACATCAACACAAATGTCCATTTAAAATTAAAGCAGAATTATCAAAATAATTCTACCTGTACATTTAAATATTTCAGTTATTACATTTTCCTATAAAAGTTACATTTTGGGCCAAAAAAATTTCCAATTGAATATTTTACATAACTATTGATGAGAAATTAAAATACAATGATATTTTAACAATATATTTTATACTCATTTTTCTCAGAAAAAAAAGGGTTTACACAAAGCAAGCAACCCTGTGAATATATATTGTGATACACATGTTCAGTATGGAAAATTGCTCTAGTTTAAGACCAAAAAATATTCATAAACCAGTTATATCCATTACACCTAATCCCACTTAATAATTTTTAAGATACTCTTTACCTTATCAGGGAGATGGGCAGAATAAATAAAATAAATAAATAAATAAAGTAAATACCTGGAGTGTCTGACCAAATCGTTTCAAGGGAGTTGTTCGGACAGGAGGAATTAAGCTTGCTAGTGATGTCACTCTAGAAAGAGGCTTGACCCGCTTGTTACTGGGCTCCTGTAAATTTTAGACAAATTAATTACATATAAGCATCGTTATATAGGTGATTGTAATGATAATACAAGATAATATACGAGGAATAGTTAATACAAGAGGAAAGCCACAAAAAATGTTACCTAGCCACCAAATGTTACCTAGTCACTGCCCATCCCCCAGGGCTTTAACCAGTAATGGGGATCTTTTTTTTTTTTAAAGCAAAGCTGATTCAAGTCAGATTTGCATCATGTCATTAAACATGTTTATTCTTATATTGGGTTGGGGACAAGTAAGTGTAGAGGCTCAGATGATCACTCCATTGAGACCCTACTATCTAGATGGTCTCATGTGATAATGAGAAGATAACAGATCCGAATGACACTGATTTGTAATCGCCGTTTTTCTTCTGGGGCTCCTGAAGTCTCCTAAAATAGTACAAAGAAAGAATGTTATAGTCATGCTTTGTGTGTATGTATTCAATCTTCATGGGTATTTCCTGAGTGCTATTAAAATATTGTGTGTTACATTCTCATGCAGGCATATTTACTATCGCCTTATGGCATTCTCTCCCCCCAACTCATACACCAACACCCTCAGCATTTCATGATTAAGTTGCTCTTTTTACTGTGTTCCTCAGGGTTAAGTTATCTTCATCAAATCGTTCTGATATTTCTTTCTTTTTCTCTTTTAATTTATAAAGTAATATCCTTTTGTGTTAGGAATCATTTCTTAAAATCTCTGTTTTATTTTATTTTTTGTTTCTTTCAGTGCAGTATACCTGATAGTTCCCTTTCTTAAGCTGACTCCTTGGATCACTGGTCATAATACCTGGGATGATGGGAACTGTGGTCCAACACATGAAGGCAACATTAGAGATGGCTAAGCTATAGCAATATATTTCCTCAATAAAGATATCTTTTGCCAGCAAACATGAAATATCTGCAGTTACAAGACACTGTGTGTGTGTTTGTGTGTGTGTGTGTGTGTGTGTTTGTTTGTTTCTCTCTCTCTCCCTGTGTATGTCTGTGTGGAGGGGACACATAGCCCAAAATGAGTGAGTTATTTTCATTGAAATGGGGCTTACTATTTCAAAAGTGTATACAGAATTACGGTACATTTTATTAAACAACCTCATTCCAAAAATTCAATTCCCAAAACAATTATCTCTTAATAACATAAAAGATTCAGCTGCTATAGATGTTTTGATGAGCTCGTTCCTTGAAGGTCATAGATACAGTGTAAAAACAGAAATATTTATTAGCCTCAAATATTTCTCCCTCAAATCATTATACATTTCAATAATTCAATAATTATCTTTTGAAAGAGACAAAAGTTAGAGCATTAAAATGACAATATCTGTAAAGAACATTTGCACATTTAACATTTTTGTTGAAGTGTACTCTGTTCACTTCTATCTTTATCTAAATGGACCAAAAATATAAGTACATTTATTATTTTTAAACATTTAATAAGCATCTAGCATTCAGTAAGAAACATAAATAATATATCATACACTATTTGAATCAATGTCTGTCAAGATTTTCTGAATAAATGTTAAGTTACTTCTGCATGCCAGAAAAATATAAACAAAATTGACGAAACTAATAATTTTTAAAGTTGATGATTACCCTTGCCTTCCTAATATCCATCCCGCACTGAAGGGATCTTGGGCAGCACATGTAAAAATCAAAATCTGAGAGAGAAAACTCAAAACGTTCCGGGTGATGTGAATTTTTTCCCCAAAAATAGAAAAACAGAAAAACCTTAGGACTTCTAGAAGATATGAATTTACTAACTCTTCAAAAACCATACTTTAAAGAACATTTTAAGCACAATCACCTCTCCTTTTCAGCCATAATTATGAAGTTTACTTAAGCACCTTGTAATTCCAGGTTTGTAGGGGAAAAAATTCCCAAGGAAAATAAGCCAGATCTTACTGTAATCTTCCATATGTTAGTAAATTCATGGTGGCAATTCTTCTTGTAAACAACAAGAAACAAACAAAAACCAGGACAGTGGCAGCTTCTTTAATTTTGGTCAGAAATACTATTTCCATCAGTGCAGATATGGATAGGAGAATCAAATGCAAAGCTATGTATTTATTTCTTTACAGATGGAGCTGAAGTTCATCACTATCCCCTAAAACCAGGCACTAAAATGTGAAAAAACCTTCCGTATATCAAGACCCTATTCCGTTGTGGATGCTCTGCAAACAACAAAAACCAGCTTGCCCTCATCTTTAGCCAAGGTGGATTCAATTTCCTTTGTCTTCGGCAGCGGTGACTTAGCTCAGTCTTTTGGATGGTACATTTATTTTTACGCCACTGCAGCACCACCAGAATACTGAACACAGGAGGGAAGTCTTTGAGCATTCGTTCACTCGTTCACTCTCGTCGTCCTCTAAATGGCCCTTCAAGCCCCCAACTGCTTCTTGCTCATGCATGCCGTTGCTGCTCTGTGTGCCACTGTTCTCCCGGGGGCAGAGAGGTTTCTCGTCAATCCCCACTGCAGTCCCAGGCACCTAAGTCCCAAATGCATGGGAAGAGCTATGCTGCAATCTCCTTTTCTGAAAGGGTGATATTCTTCAGAATTTAATAACCAATATTCAAACTAGACTGAGTCACAGCTTCGTACCAAAATTGTGTTTCAGGTATTATCAAAAACTTGTTATCTCTGCACTGTAATTCCAGGAAGTAAAACATAGAACTTTGAGGTGTTTAGAAATTCCTTCTTGTTAATTATCTGATTTTTCTCTATGAACAACGATCTTCACAAAAATAAAACACTTTAACTCCAGATAATAAGAGGAAAACTAATCTCGGGCTGAAGATACTGGTTTGTTCCAACCTTTGATGTCAGAACAAAGTGTCTTTTAGACATTTTACCAAACCTTTGAAATCATGCTCATGAACAGCCTTTGCAGTTAAGAAGCAAGAATTAAATCAATTTTCAGTCTAGATCCAAAGTCCTTTCAAAGTATTCTGTCAGGGGATGCAGGTTAACAGTGGATGAGGCCACACTTCTGCCTTCCCTCTTTGTCAGACATTCTCTTCCATCTACGTTTAACTGGCTGCCAATGGAGAGCCAGATCACTGATTTCTTGCTATCTCTAGTTTAAATGATCCAATCAACATGGGCAAGGACCAATTGCTTTAGTCTTTTCTGCAGAACTAATACTCGCTCTCCTAGCACAAAATTAATTTTCAGAAGCCATATAATTTCCTCTTGCTCTTTGACAATCCTCCCCATTAGCATTCATGTACCAGCATTTTGCACCTAGCTGAAAAAAATCTTTAAAGGACACTCAAATAAAAGGACAAAGTTCAGAGGTGGTATATATTTACCTAGATTATATACTTTCCTCAGCTTAGTAAATGCCTGACTATGGAGAATGCTGCTAGGGTAATCTACTAGTGTAGTTAGATGGCAACCAGGGCTTACTATGATAAGAAAGTTGCTGAAAAAGCAGCAACTCTTGCCAGGTCTTTCAAAGTGATACAAGACTGGCCCTTTTTGTTTGTTAGTTATCTTTCCAGCTATTCAATAATTATTCATAAAGCAGCATCTCACACACCGATGGAATAATCTCTAAAGAGCAACTTCTTAAATTTTATCCCATTCTTCTGGGCCATTCTGTAAGTTTGCGTAGATCTTTTAAATGTTCTCTTTCTCTTCTAAAGAGTTAGCCACTCCTCCTAGTTTTTGGCCACCTGCAAATGTTGTTATTCTCCCTCTAGATTCAGATCATTAACAAAAATGTGGAACAACAGAAGGCCTTGTACAGCCTTGTAACATGTCACTTGATACTATTTACCAGGCTGATCTGAAACTACTTGTGTGTCATGTACCCAATAATGAATTCATTTAACAGCTGTATCCTAGCCTGTGTTTGTATCTTTTTATTAATGGGGATATCATGAGAGACTTTGACAAATCTTTTGCTGAGATCAAGGTATAGTACATCGACCCCAATCTATTAAGCTGATACATCTGTCAAAAAAGTAGGTAAGATTAGGGAAGCATGACATGTTTGTGACAAACCCATGCTGATTTTTGTGGATTATGCATTTTTGTCTAAATGCTCACAAGTATGCTGTTTAATAGCCTGCTTCAGGATTTTGCCCAGTGCAGCTGTCAAACTGTAATTTTCTAGGTCCTTCATCTTCTACTTTTGAAGATGTTGATGCTTGCTTTCCTTGTTTTTCTAGGCCTTGTCAATCTTTCACTGGGACTCAAAAATTTCACTTAGTGACTTTGAGATCACCTCTGGTTTTACCTTCAGTAGAATCAGTTGTAATTCATCCGGCCCTGGAGACTTGGATTCATTTAAAATTAATGAAATACTATATTACTCTCTCCTTGTCTATCTTAAGTTGTAACTTTCTCTTCTCTTCCTACTATTGGCACAAAAAGGTGTAAGAGAGTGTCTAGGACTGAAAGACTTGAGTAAACCTTACATACACACACAAAGACAGACGGACATAGCTGCAGATTTCCCCCTTATCAATGAAGAAAGCTGCTATCTAGCCAATGCACCATAGTGCTTTAAGGGAGAGTCTCAGAAAATTTCTATCAATGTATATCAGGGGTGTCAAACTCATGGCGTCACATGACATATCAGGACATTTTTCCCCTTCGCTAAACCGGGCGGGGATGGGGCCAGCATGTGAAGCATACAGCCCATGGGCCACGAGTTTGCCACCCCTGATGTACATTCATTAAGATCATTAACACTTCGGCGACCCTCCTCGCTCTGCGAGATGCCCCCCTCTCGCAGACATGGCCTTCGAAGGACGGGTTTTGGAACCCCGAGTGGTGGCATGCCTCGAAGCGTGGTCTGAGGGGTTTTTTAATTAAGGCTTTTAACCAAATTTTAAGGGGACCCGGGAGGCGGGTGGTGACCAAAGGGGATGGGGAGGGAACCCACTAAGGTCGGAGCCGAGCCCGGCACAGGGAAACGGTTTGGAGGGTGCAGGACGAGGGATTGGGGAGGGGATGGAGGGCTATCCTAATGAGGTATGTACCATCAGCACAGTCGATGGGAGGGGCAGATATGGCGTGAGCAGGGGGCCATATCATGTGTCGGGCGTGCACACTCACTGTTTGAGAGCTATTGCACGCCCTTGTCCCCAAGGCTCCTCTCGGATGCTAGGTGGCACAGATACTCAGGATCTGGGTCTTCGGCTGATGCTATGCAATGCCAGGTCCATGGTAAATAAGGCCCCCCTCATCCACGATCTCATACATGGGGGAGCGGACCTGGCGGGTATTACCGAGACCTGGTTGGGCCCGGAGGGAGGGGTCCCCTGGTTGAAATGTGACCACCAGGTTTCAGAGCGTTCCACCAGCCGAGGGCCCAGGGGAGGGGAGGGGGGGTGGCGATCATTATTAAAGAAGGTCTCGGTCCGAGGGAGACCACTGTGCCTCAGATTGCCAGATGTGAATCCCTCTTTGTGAGATGGGGTCATGGGCTCAGATGGGCCTGTTGCTTACGTACCTGGCTCCCTTCCATGTGGCAACGGCCCTGCCCGAACTACTTGACGTGATAGCCACGGTGGCAGTTGATACACCCAGGCTTATGTCATGGGTGATTTCAATTTGCCGTCCGTTGGTGAAACGTCTGAGTTGGCTCAGGAGTTCATGGCTTCCATGATGGCCATGGACCTGACCCAGTTAGTTCATGGCCCCACCCACAAGGGGGTCACACTCTGGACTTGATTTTTGTCTCTGGCCAGTGGTTGAGTGGTCTTGTTATAGGGGATATAGACATGGAACCCTTGTCATGGACCTTCGAACCACTATACCCCGCTGCAGGGAGGCGGAGCCAATAAGATGGGTCCGCCCCAGGCACCTGATGGATCCTGATAGGTTCCAGATGGAGCTTCGGCCACTTCCTGAGGATCTGGCGCATGACTCGGCTGAGGACCTGGT